AACGTTAAGACCAAAGCGTTAGCTCTTAAGAGCAAAGCGTTATAACGTTTTGCTAAAGCGTTAGCCGTTAAGATCAATGCGTTATAACGCTTTGCCAAAGCGTTAGCAGCACTTGAAAAAGCGTTAATGACCGTTAAAAACGGCCGTTTAACGCTAAAGCGTTAAGACACGTTTTCTCGTGAGAGGTCACATGTTTGGTTGTACATAGGTAGTTGAATTGATTTGCTTATAATCAAGAGAAGATATATTTTCTCAACTATAATTCCACTCTGAAAAATATTGCTGGAGTGTAGGTGGCTCTAACTCAAAGAACTGTGACGTTTCATCCAAATACATGCATGTTAGAGCATTTCGAAGAATTGCAGCTACAATGTAAAACTTGCCCACAGCATTTAACTGCAATTTCAAATTCTTTTTAAAATCTAAAAACTTAAAATAATTGATGATATCACCGAAGAGCCATTCTACGGACACAYGAACAGAACTCATCGATGCATTGAAATCATGCATTTGTTGTGTGAGTACAGCATTGCGGAATGGAGCCTGTAGATGTATTCTTAATGGGTATGCAGGATCACTGTAGAGACACATTGGATTCCCCGCAGGTGAAAAGGCATGTTGGCTTAGTTGTTGTAGAAGACCTGAATTGGCTAACATTCCAGCGTCATGAGTTTTTCCCTCTGAAAAGGATAAAAAAAAACATAGAAAAAAACTAAAAGTCTTACAATTAATATACTTTTACCCTGGTTCCAGAGGTTTCTCTGTGTTATTCTCTGTGAAAATCTCTCCGTTCTTCGCCGCGAAGCAGCGACATCGAGCTGTGTAGCAGCGAGCCGAGAGAAACCTCTGGTTGCGACCGTTGGAAACCTCACTTCCATGCCATCAGCTATTGATCGTCGTAATCTGATTGGTTGGCTATTTTAATCACCGTATGCGAGATGTGATTGGTCAATTAGACTATATGTGGGGGAGGGAGTGCGTTTTTCTTTTGTTATTAGGAACCGGAGACTAAGTATTTTTTGTAAGGCTATAAGTATTTTGTAAGGCTATAAGTATTCCCATGGGGACTATACAAAGGTATGATTCACCTCATCGAGCATTCTCGTCATTTGTCAACTTCTTTAGCTTACTTTATTTAAAACAACAACGAAATGGTTCTTTCTAAAAGATTATTTGAAATCATATTGCCTTCAGTTCTTGAGACCCGTTTCCCGGAGATTGAAGAGCTTTCAGTCGAACAAAGTAGAGCTTTGTTCGCATTGTTGAACCGAGAAGATGTGTTCGCCATCTTGCCAACTGGCCA